CCTGGCTCTGAGAGGGGAGTGGGGTCTAGTGGTTAGAGCAGGGGGGTTGGGAGCCAGGACTCCTGGGTTCTCTCCCGGGCTCTGGGAGGGGAGTGGGGTCTAGTGGTTAAAGCATCCATACACCAGAGGGGTTTCACTTACCAAATCCTCCTTAGGGGCCTCAGGCTGGGTAATGTTTGCCTGGAGTGGAGTACAAGGTGAGTTTGTGAACAAAAAAAAGATGTACAATCTCTCCGTTGTCTGCGTGTATGTTTCTCTCTCTCCTCCTTTTCTAGACAGGCTCAGCTGTACACTCTGATGTGAGATAGAAACTTAAAATTCTTCACATTCGTCTTTGGCAGAGTCGATAGATTTCTATTCCTGTCGCCAGCGCTGCCCCCTACCCACAGCGCTGTGACATCCCCAGGGTATGTCCAGGCCAATGTACCACAGCTAATGGTACAATCCACCCCTGCCCTGCACCCTTGGGTGCCTTCCAATGCCCTGCAGAAATAGCTCCCCCCGGGCTGCTCACAAACAGACTCCAGCGTGCGAGCTGCACCCTGAGTGTGTGCATGTGACTGCAGCCTGCCGGCCACACCTGGGTTACACTTTGGCTCTCCCCAGCCTTGGTTATATTGCACGGCAACGCCAACACACCCACAGTTCCAGATTCTTATACAGAAACATATGTCCTTTGCTGCCCGGCCTTCTCCCGGACAACACGGGCTGATGTAAAGTCCATCATTTTATTACTAGAACTGATATGTGCACAGCCTTGTCAGCCCAAATGGAGTTTCCCAGACACTTCAGTTCAAACACACTGGATTAGATAAAACAGTAAAGCAAGTTGATTAACTACAGAGAGTTAGATTTGAAGGGAGTACAAGTACTAGACATAGAAGTCAGAAATGGGTCCAGGAGAAAGGAAGATAAAACATGACTAATTGAACAAGTTACATTAGATTCACAGCCAAGTTTCCTCACCACATGCTTCAGCAGGTTACTGACCAGACTCTTCGGCTATAGCTACACTGGCGCGTTACAGCGCTGCAACTTTCTCGCTCAGGGGTGTGAAAAAACACCCCCCCCCGAGGCAGCAAGTTACAGCGCTGTAACGCGCCAGTGTAATCAGTGCCTGCAGCGCTGTAAGCTAATCCCCTTGTGGCGGTGGAGTACCTGGAGCGCCGGGAGAGCTCTCCCAGCGCTGGCGCACGACCACACTCGCACTTCGAGTGTAACCACGGCCTTAGCTCAGGAACCATTCCTGCCCCACCCCCTCCAGTCCAACACTGCTTCCTTTGTCCTCAGGTGCCGTGAATGCAGTGGGGGGTGTTTTGGGGGATTGCACCTCCCTTTTTATTGTTCTCTCCCCCCTTTGAGATGCATTTCCAGCTGGGAACATGGTGACAGGCCCTGTGTGTGGATGGGAACTCCATGCTTTCTTTGCTAAGATGTGGATTTTTCACCCCGGCTCCCTTTCCTGCCAAAGAACTGCCACTTATCAGGTAATGGCCCATTGACAATTGTCTGAGGCGTCAGCTTGCCCTTTGTCCCTGAGGATCTGGTTTGCCCACTGCCCAGACTTGGGACACGTCTGAGTAACAGCATGCAGTGGAAACTTACAACCTTACATGCAGTGTTGCCACACATATTTCACCAGGGCATTAACGACCAGCAATGGGGTGGCCTGAGGGAAAATGGAGCTCTGGGTGAACTTGTATTTTGGCACCCCTGGCTCCCACTCCCTCCCTAGAGCCCCCCCGCCCATTGCCCCCGCTGCCGCCCTGGGTTCCCCACCCATTCCCACATTGCCCCCGGACCCCACTGCTTCCCCACCATTGCTGTGGAAGGATCCTCCTCATTCTACCCCTCTTCCAGTCCCCCCTCGGCTCCCATCTCCCTTCGGCTCCCATCCCCTCTCAGCCACCTTAGATGTCTACACACAAATGTAAGGAGCATGGGGAATCAAGAGGAGGAACTGGAAGTATCCGTACACAAGCTAAATAATTATTTAATTGGCATCACAGAGACTTGGTGGGAGAAATCTCATGAGTGGAATCTGCGTATGGAAAATGAAGGAAAGAGAAGGAAATGTCCCCACAAGAACTGAGTTTTTTCATTAAAAAAAGGGGGGAGGGATGGAAAAGCGGGGAGGAAGAGGCACATTTTCCATCCCATTCTCAACATCAAAAAGTTTTTGATAGAAAAATTTGAGCCAGTTCTACCTGTGGCTTCATTTTGATGGGACCTGCTTGCAGATGGCCTGAGATCATTTCCCAGGGCAGGAACTTGAAACGGCGCCTCTCAAATTCACGGTCCTGTTCCCAACTCCACTACAGAAATGCCCGCACAGACCTTGGCTGACACTTTCCAAAGTGGTCTGTAATTTAGGTCGCCCTGCTCTAGGGGTGCTGTCAGGGGCAGAAGAGGCAGCAGCTGGCTAAGAGGGATACGACTAGGTTTGGCAGGATAAGATTTTTACCTGAAAATGCTGATAAGGTCGATTTCACAAGACACACCCAAACCAAGACATAAGCTAGTTGCACTGATAACAAATTTTTCCGATAGGCATGGTAAAACAAATACTTCTTGAGACTGTATTGGAGTTTGATTTTAGGCTAATTAATTAAGATGAGCAATTAGCCTCTTAGAGTTGATATGGCTATTTCCACCTTTTCATGTTCTGTATGTATATATATCTCCTCTCTATATGTTCCAGTCTATGCATCTCAAGAAGTGGGCTGTAGCCCACGAAAGCTTATGCTCAAATAAATTTGTTAGTCTCTACGGTGCCACAAGTACTCCTGTAAATAATTATTGTTGCCCCCAGACCATTTCCCGCAACTGTGAAAATTTAAATCGATAAAAATAGTAAAAATCTTTAAAAATAAATTTCAATATTATCCCTCAAAATTATAAAAAAATTAAAATCAAATTCAGCCCACCCTACATACAAACGAAGATTCTTTATTGAGCATTGTAGCTCCCGGCCTGTGCTGCCTAATTTCACCACTAGGGGTGCCTTTAAGACGAAGCAGCTGCTACACAGTTCTGCCCACTCGAATTAAAATTTTGCCCATCGAAAGAGATAAAAAAAACTCCAAAGAATGAGGTCTCCAGTTTGTTTCATTCAGTGCAAAAAAATAATGGGGAAGAGAATGCGGCCAGGAGCCCAGAGCCCCTGGGAGGGGAGAGTGGCTGCAGAGAGGGGCAGAC